CTGCAATAAACATTCTGATATAAATATCTTTGTTATAGTGTGATTTTTTTGTCTTCTGGATATACCTAGTAGAGGAATTGTAGGATCAAATGGCAGGTCTATTTTTAGTTCTCTAAGTGTTCTCCAAACATCTTTCCAAAAGGAACAAAATAAGGTTTTACAAAATATTTTCATGAACTAAAATCACTTATTGCTGATAGGAGGTGTGTTTATCTGTTATTTTGCTGAACTGGAGCAGAGGTTCTCAGATGGCATTCCTGTACAGATACAGACAAAGGTTAGATAATGGCTATCTTTCTTAATTTGAAACAAAAATTAATTAGTACACAGAAATACCTCAATTAAAACTTTTTTCCTATGGGTTTTTTAAAACTTTTTTTTTTTTGAGACAGAGGCTCACTTTCTTGCCCTTGGAAGAGTGCGATGGCATCATCATAGCTCACAGCAACCTCAAAGTCCTGGACTCAAGTGATCTTCCTGCCTCAGTCTCCTGAGTAGCTGGGACTATAGGTGCCTGCCTCTATACCTGGATAGTTTTCCCATTTTTAGTAGAGATGAGGTCTTCTTTAGTAGAGATGAGGCTTTTCTTAAACTCCTGAGCTCAAGCAATCCTCCGCCTTGGCCTCCCAAAGTGCTAGGATTACAGGCCTGAGCCACTGCGCCTGGTCTTTTTTTATGGGTTTTTCGTGGCAACTAAGTTTTCCATGTACTTTTGCTTATTCTAGAATCAAGTATTAGGTAACATCAAATTGGTCAAAGAATTATAAAATACATATTTCGCTATCCTGTGGATTTAGAAATAGTCCACTAGATTAGCAAAGAAATAATCACTGAGTTAAAGTAAGGGTTCTGAGCCATGACTCTGTCTCTCCCAAAATGAAGTAAAAGAATCAAAAGTGGCTGAGTGTGGTGGCTCACACCTGGATCCCAGCACTCTGGGAGGCCGAGGTGGAAGATCCTTTGAGCTCAGGAGTTTAAGACAAGCCTTTGCAAGAGGAGACCCCATCTCTACTAGAAATAGAAAAACTAGCTGGGCATGGTGGTGGTGGGTGCTTGTAGTCCTAGCTACTCGGAAGGCTGAGGCAGGAGGATTAGTTGAGCCCAAGAGTTTGAGGTTGCTGTGAGCTATGACATCACAGCACTCTACCCAGGTGGCAGAGTGAGACTCTGTCTAAAAAAAAGAAGACGAAGAAGAGGAAGAAGGGGGAGGAGGAGGACAAGAAGAAGAAGAAGGAGAAGAAAGGAGGAGGAGGAGGAAGAGGACAAAGAAAAAGGAGGAGGAGGAGAAAGAAGAAAGAAGTATTAGTGTGCATTGTCCATAATCTGGTGAAACTTTGTTTCTGTATGGTGTGTGTGTCGTGGGTGTCATAGAGGAGTGTGAGTATTTTGCCACTTTCCAGAATTCATTTCTTCCTTATTTCTTGTTCTTGATTTGATGAGAAGTTTTGTAACAATAAATTGCAGTGGTGATAGCAACATCCCTGATTTGTTTCTGACCTAAAAGAAAATGCATCTCCCTGAGGTTTTGAAATGTAGAATTTTCACTATTGTTAATCACTAGTCCATCAGTAAAGTTGTCATCCCTCTTTACATCAAGTCCCATAAAGGTTTCTTTTTTTTTTATTTTTTGCAGTTTTTGGCCGGGGACAGGTTTGAACCCGCCACCTCTGGTATATGGGGCTGGCGCCCTACTCCTTTGAGCCACAGGTGCCACCCATAAAGGTTTGTTTTAATCTATAAGTAGTTGGATTTATTTTTATTTATTTATTTTTGAGAAAGAGTCTCACTATGTCACCCTTGGTAGAGTGCCATGGCGTCACAGCTCACAGCAACCTCAAACTCTTGGGTGTAAGTGATTCTCTTGCCTCAGCCTCCCAAGTAGCTGGGACTACAGGCACCTGCCACAACACTTGCCATTTTCTTGTTGTAGTTGTCATTGTTATTTGGCAGACCCGGGCTGGGTTTGAACCTTCCAGCCCCGGTGTATGTGGCCAGCACCCTATTCGCTGAGCTACAGATGCCAAGCCTATTTTTAATTGACTGTTATGATTAATTATTAATTTTATTACCTGTGATTAGATAATATGTATTGTGACCTATGCAATTTCTGCTTTTCGAAAATTATTAAGAATTCTTTTGGATCAGAATATGATCAGTTTGTCTAAAAATATATATTTTAAAAGGCTACATATTCCATGCTAATATGACAAAATTTTCAGTGTCTATTGATTCTAGCCTACTGATCCTCTATATCTCAGTTTATTCTGTATATCTTGAATTGTCATTAAAATTTTCCAGCAAGGTTGCAGTTTTGCACTTTATATATCTAAGATTCCTTTGTGTGTGCAAGCATGTATAATATACAAACAATCACACACATTCATAACTGTGAATTTCTACCGGTTTTTGGCTTTTGATACCATCATCTATTTTAACACTGTTGACACGGCTGATTAGGGGGCTTATTTTGGGGGAATTTTTTTGTCCATTCTTTTGTATCTCTTCTTTTTGTATCCTTTTATTTCAAGTGTGAATTTCGTGAATAGTTTCCAGTTGGATTTTTTTTTTTTCTGGGGCTGGGTTTGAATCTGCCACCTCCGGCATTTGGGGCTGGTGCCCTACTCCTTTGAGCCACAGGCACCGCCCTCCAGTTGGATTTTGTTTCTTGCATTACCTTGACATTCATTAAAAGTAGAGTTTAATCCATTCACAATCATTTTGAAATGAATATATTTGTTTTCTTCTTTGTTATACTTCCTGGATGCTTTTTTTCCACTTTCATATACTTTGATAGTTTTTTATGCTTATTTTGTCTTCCTTTAGTAATTCAGAAGATATGCATGCAACTTTTCATCTGCATAGTCAAATCTTTTAAATCAATATCTAGAATGAATCCTTATCTGTTGACCATCCCTCCCTGCTGCCACTCTCCCAATTTCTGTTGAAATAATTCAGAACTTTAGACTCAGATTATTACATTAAAAATGTTCAACGAGCAGCCTTATTTTTCAAGAAAATACTTTCACATAGCTACCTTAATATTATTGCTTAGGCTAAACCATGTTTTGCCATTTCATTTCTTACTGCTATTTATGTTAAAACCCCACCCATCTTCAGTCTAGAGTTCCTTCTTTTCACTTATTTCTCAGTAAGCTTGAGTAAATAAAGGATAACTTCTACCCTTGCATGTCTGACGTTGCCAGATCCCATTTTAAAAGAATACCTGGTTTTAGATTAGATTCAAATCTTAGCTTTTCCTGGCTCTGATCCTACAACAATGGGAAAGTCTTTTCACCTCTCTCAGCTCCTGGCGTGTAAAGTGGAGGTCACACAACCATCTTATAGGATTTGGAAGGAGAGACCTGAGCAAAGTGCTCTTGTCCATTTAAGTGTAGACTAGTGGCATAGCAACTAGTCAATATCAGATTGTTATTATTAATCTTTGTACACTACTGTCTTTGTTCATTCACATCTTATAAAATAGTATGACTATTATAGGTAGTCACTTAAATTACTATTGTTTCAATTTTTAATTTTGAGAACGGCCTTCATAGTTCTCCTTTAGCTGTCCTAGACAGTGCAGGTCTCAAGATGTCGAGCAGAGGCAGGACGTCTCCTGCGGAGCACCCAGACAGACGGATGCTCCTGCAGGTAGCCCCCCTATCTTCTGCATCAGCTGTAACCAGCTGGCAGATGTGCCCAGGTTTGGGGTCCACGTGCTGCTGACAGACTCCCTCCTCCCACACTCCCTGCTCATCCCACTTCACCCACTTCCACCTTGGGACTCATTTTCCTTGGGTTACAAGAAAGAGCCACACCTGGCGTCCTGGCCCCCTTGCCAGTTGTACTACAGTCGTGCACACACCCGTTATTACTCATGTTCTGAATTTTGAGTCATGCTGCTCCACACAGATGCCCCATACAGCCCCACCTCAATTCTCCTTCCCTTGGCCATGTCCTCAAGTCCGTAAGACCAAGCCCAGCATGGGGACTCGAGGAAGGCCTTCAGAAGTCAACACTGCTCACCCCTGTCAGGAGCAAGGGCAGTCTGTGCCACTGCACACATTACCCTGCTTTCCCATGTGCCCCCCCCACCAGACTAGGCTCTGAGATGCTCCCGGGTGGAGACCTTGACTGACTGGTTCTGTTTCCACTCTGTCTGATCATGGTGACCACTCATAGTAGGTGCCAAATAAATATTGATGCAACTAATGTAAACTGAGACTGACTCATACCTCTCCTGCTCCATGTTCTCCTAAAATGGTTGGGAGACTCTAGCTCAGGGCAGCTACTATTACTTGGCCAAGAGTCTGGGGCAGAGGAGCTGAGCTTATTCAC